GGTTCAACCAGCCTGGGCTGCTGCTGCAGGAATCCCTGCTGCAAGATGCACTGCTGCACACCAGGACGACCGCAGGGACGCCTGCACAGCGGCCATCGATCCGTGTTCCTTGCAGTGCATCTCACTGCATGCCCTCAACTCCAGGGGTGAACTGAGCGTGGTGACTTTTCCTAAGCCAAGCAAGAATGCTTTGCTTCAAGAAAAGAGCAGCCCGGTGGCTGTAGCTCCTTCCCCATCCCCACCTCCTCGATGAGCTTCAGGCACTCCGTCAGCAGGGCGTTGATCCTGGCCAGGTAGAGCTGCTCCGGCTTCTCAGGCTTTTGCTCCTCCTGCACGGTGCTCCTGTGCGCTGGCTTCTGCTTCATCGGCTTTTTTGGAGGCAGCGTCATAGGCGGCCGTTTGTAGCACTTGCCCTTGGAGGCCAGCCACTGCTCCAGCTGTCTCCTGGGAAAGGACCGAGGGATCGCTGTCAGCACCACACAGCACTGGCACCTGCTGCCTGGCTGCCCTCTGGGTTTGTAGCTGCTTGGGAAGATCTACCCTAAGAATCACAACCGAGGCAGGCAGGGGAGGCAAACCCCCCCCCAAATGTCAGAGTGTCCCGAGGATAAAATGGGAGAGGCAGCACAAAGCAGCAAGGCTGTGCTTCACACACTGCTCACTCACTGCTGCCTGCAGGCAGTTGTCGCGTGGCAGAAACGAGGAACCCAGAGGACACCAAACGTCACCCTCACCCCCCTCTGTGCTGCAGCATCCCAGCAGTTCAGACTGCAGCTGGGGCCCTGCAGCCTGCAGCTGGCTCACGTGCTTCAGTGCCTCACTCTGCTTCCCCTGGTAGGAGACCAGTCAGCCAACGATGCCACTCACCTACGATCCTCTGGTGTTGGGCTCTTGGGAACACGCCCAGCATGCACTCCGTGCGCCTGCAGCAGCTCTGGTTTACGCACCTCTCTGCTGCTCCCAAATTCACCCCGATTTCCTTGAGTTCTGGAGCTGTAGGTGCTGGGAAGAGACTGTTTTTTTGGGACTCCTGCTCGGGATACTGCTGCGTGTCCACAAGGCGCTGCCTTCACATCCTTCCTGTCTGCTCCCCCTTTCACTGTGGGTTGTTGCCACTGCCCTGAGGTGCACAGCTTCAGGCCTGGTGTCCTCGTGGTCCCACTTGTGGTGCCCTGGGGCCGGCTGGAGGCTGGGGGCTTTGCAGGAGCTCTGTTGGAGTGCTTAAGAGTTCCCATCAGAGACGTGCCAAGCTTTCCCCCAGGTTCTCTTGCTGCACTGTTTTTTTCCTGTTTTACAGCTGGCTTTTTATGTAGCAAACGTGTAGAATTAGCAAGGAACTGAGGGGGTTGCAATGGCCGGGTTGTGCCGCTTGGTTTTTGGGATGCACTTTTTGAGGCTGGCAGAGGTTTCCTGAATTTCTCCTGAATCAGCACTTCCTTAGCCTGGCAGCTATTAATTCTGTCCTTTGGGCCCTTGACAGTCCTTGACACAGTGCCTGAGCTCTGCCCGTGAGCCAAAGCTCTCTTTTTCCCCAGACTGTTCCCATTAGACTGAAAAGTGTTGCTGGGCACAGGGTTTGCAGCTGCTTGTGCTGGCAAGTTCTCTTTGCCACAGCCAAGCCACTCCTGCAGGCCCTCACTCAGGGAGCAAGGTGCCCCAGGCACAGGCTGGCCACTTCCACTCTCCTCCGGCCTTCCGGGGTTTAGCAGACAAGAGGCAGAAGCTGGGAGCCTCCCTTTGGGCTGCGCAGGGGGGTTTGTGCTCGGAACGAGGCCTGCAGGCAGCTCTGTGCCCTTCCCCAGCTGCCGTGGCCGCATCGCTGCTGCTCTCTGCGATGCACGTGAGGACTGCCGCAGTGCAGCGTGCCCAGCTGGCTGTGCAGGTTTGGCAGCAGGCTTGTCATCCTTCCAGGTGCCCTTTGCTACGTTTTGGACTGCACCCTTCTTGTTCCTGTCAAGCTGCAGAGACAAAGAAACTGAGGCAGGGCCCAGAGCAGAGCTCGGCTCCGTCCCACCCCGCAGCCCCACCAGCCCAGGGGATGTGCACAGAGCCCTGCAGGGGGAAGCAAGCCCAGTGTAACACCCAGCACCAGGGCAGAGGACAATTCTCTCAGCTGAAGTTCCTCTGAAAACTAATGAGTTGTCTTGGGGCCAGATATTTAGCAGGGCGTTGATTACTGCTTGCCCGGGGTCAGGAACTCACTGTCCTGGTTTGTGTGCCCCGTTCTGCCTGGGAGCACTTCAAGCATGAGATACAAAACCAGACGGAAAAGAGTTCTCTTCTACTTACATGTTCTGGTTTAGAAACTGGTTTTAAGAGTGGATCCAGGCGATTAGTCCGGTCCTTTAAATAGGGCCTGCAGAAACAAGTTACCCAAATACTGAGCAGCTGTTCCAGAAAAGCTGAAATACACCAAGTGCTTCTGGTTGCCACAGCCACCAGAGCTGATGAGAAGCATTTTGAAGCTGTCAAGGAAGAGCCACGTCATATTTCTTTTCCTTCCACGGGGCAGCGGAAAAGTGACACAAAAGACAGTTGCATAACTCACAGCTTCCACTGACGAGAAAAGAGATCAAAGCGCTTCCTGCAGCTGATGGGGCTGGGCAGGACGTGATGGGGACTCACTTAACAGGTCAGCTGTGGCAATGAGCTTCTCTCTGATTGCTTCTAAACGGGCTGAAATGTCCCTTCCTAATATTACCCTACTGCTGCTAAAATGCAGCACTCAAAATTGGACTACCTTTCTGCTGCACAAAGCTGGTAATGCAAACAAAGCTGTCCTGCAAACCCAAAGCCTGGGATGAAAAAGCTTTGTGGAGATTCAGAAGACACCCAGCAGAAGTGGTATCAAAGAGCAGAAAACGTCAACACTCAAACCACATCTGTTCTGACGCTGGCAGTAACAGCAGAGCAGCGCCAGGGCACTGCAGGAGCTGCCCCAGCCTCAGCTCTGACAGCTGGCATGGGGCCGAGGCTGCTCTCGTTAGCAAGCACTGCAGCAAGGCAGGTGCTGGTGAGGCACAGACAGCTGCACACCCCGACTTACTTGGTACTGGGGCATTTCAGCTTCCTTTTGGCCTCCAGGTACTCCTGGAGCTTTCTTCTCCGCTCTTCTGCAAAGAAACGGTAGGAAAACATGGTGCACGCAGCGCTGTGGGGACGAGCACATCACCGAGCTCCCAGCTGGAGAGCAGTGCTGCTCCCAGACCCCCAGCACACACGAGGCGCTGCCCACAGCCCGCTGGAACAAGAGCTGTTTGATGCTTGCAGCACCAAGCTGCCCAGGGCGCAGTCGTGCGGAGCTTTGCAGGCCTGTGGGACGGCCTGTAGGAGGTGCTGCCTACGAGCACCAGCAGCAACGGGGCGGCCACAGCTTCCCCAGGCTGCCCGTCCCATCCCAGCTCCGTTCCCCCTCGTCCTATCCCTATCACATCACCCAAAGACTCGCTCTCCCTCTTTCTGCTTTCACACAGGGCAGTAAGGCCCAACTCAGTGACCACTGGGGGCTCTGGGTGCACCCAGCCCAGCGCTCCCCAACACCGCATCCCTTCCTGCCTCCGCAGCCCCCAGCACCGCCCCCAACCCCATTTCACAGAATCACAGAACGGTTGGGTTGGAAAGGACCTCAAGGATCATGAGCCTCCGACCCCCCACCACACACAGGGCCACCAACCTCCACATTTCACAGCAGCCCAGGCTGCCCAGGGCCCCATCCAACCTGGCCTTGAACACCTCCAGGGACGAATGAGGCATCCACAGCCTCTCTGGGCAGCTGTTCCAGCACATCACCACTCTCACAGCAAAGAACTTCCCCCTGACATCCAACCTCCATCTGCCCTCCCTCAACTCCAAACCGTTTCCCCTCGTCCTGCTGTCACCTCCCCTTGCACAGAGCCGACTCCCCTCCTGCCCACAGGCTCCCTTCAGGCACTGCAGGCTGCACTGAGGTCACCCCGCAGCCTTCTTTTCTCCATGCTGAAGGAGCCCAGCTCCCTCAGCCTGTCTTTGTAAGGGAGCTTCTCCAGTCCCCCGCTCATCTCTGCGGCTCCTCTGCACCCTCTCCAGCAGCTCCCTGTCCTTCTCGTCCTGGGGGCTCCAGCCCTGGACGCAGTGCTGCAGATGGGGCCTCACAGGAGCAAAGCAGAGGGCGACAATCGCCCCCCTGTCCCTGCTGCCACCCCCCCCGTTCTGCTGGAGCCCAGGATCCCCTTTGTTTCCCAGCTGCAGTCGCACACTGCTGGCTCACGTTCAGCTTATCACCCCCGGCTCCTTCTCTGCAGGGCTGCTCTCAAGGACCGCTCCTTCCAGCTCCTTCCTTTCGCGGTCACCCCACAGGTCGCCTCCACAAAGACCCGGACCCACAGCCGGCCCAGGCTCCCCGCACCCCAAGCGTCTGATTCCGGCCCCGCAGCCGAGCTCGGATCCCCGCTCCCAACGCTCACCTTGCGCAGCCGCCGCCGCCGCCATGTCCACAACCCGCCCAACCGCCGCCCCACGCCCATTGGCCTCCGCCTCTTTCAAACTGCCCAATGGAGAAGAACGATGAGGGGAGGCGGGGCGGAGACGGTGAGCTGCGATTGGGCGAAGCGAGCGGAAGGGGCGGGTACAACGGAGCCACGGGTGGGGCCGGAAGGACGCGTCCGCCAATCGCATTCGTTTATGAGAGAAGACGGGTGTGGTGGAGAGGAGCGGAGCGGGGCGGGGGCGCCGGGGGGGCTGAGAGGGGCGTGAGGGGAAGTCGGTGCGGTGTGGGAGGGTGCGCGGTCTCTAAGAGGGGCTGCGGAGGGGGGGCTTTGAGAGGGGGCTCTTAAGGAGAGATACGGGGCTCAGAGAGGGGCGTTGGGGGTCCTGAGGGGTGCGGCGGGCCCCAGTCTTTGTCCCCAGGTACCCCGGGAGGCGGCCTGGGTGTGGGGCGCCGGGTCCTGCTCTGCTGCGGGAATGCTTCTCCTCCGGCCAGAACGGCCCCCACCGATCCCCAGAGGCACACGCTGAGACACGCGTCCACAGGGAAGCTTTTATTTCTCCAATCTCACAATAAATACCTCCACCCCAAGAAGGGGGGTGGAACAAAACCCATCATAATTACGGTAAAAAATATAAGTTAAAAGCAACAGGATGGTAATGAAACATAAACGACGTGTGACTCGGGCCCACGGGGCCCAGAGCGGCTATTCCACGTGGAACAGCGTGGCGGGGCAGCAGGGCTTGTACTCGGTACATACAGCATGGAAACCAGCAACGGGCCGGTTTGGGTTGGGGCGGGCAGTCAGCGCCCGCTCAGCTTGTAGGTGGCAACGTTGACCTGGTCGGGTTGGTTGGTGATGCCCACGGGCTGCCGGGGCTGCAGGGAGGTGCAGATGAACCAACCAGGGAAGGCGGCCGACTCGAAGCGCGTGGTGCCCTCGGTCGGGCTGTCCAGGCGGTAGAAGATGAAGCGGGTCAGCTCGGCGCTGTCGATGTCCCGTGTGACGTCGGCTTCCTGCAATGCAGATCCAGAGAGGCTCAGCGGGGAGCAGGGGCCGCTGGGTGGGGAAGTGGGGATGGGATGGGGACGTGGGATGCTCACCTCCAGCTGCAGCGTGGGCTCGGCGCCGCTCAGCACGCACGACATGTAGAGCTTGTAGCCCTTGATGCCCAGTGCCACTGGTGTCTGCCCAGCTCCAGCGCTGCCCCGTGGGCCTCGGGGCCGATACAGCGCAATGTTGAGCCTCACTGCGGGGAGAAGGGACGGGTCAGCGGGCATGCTGCGGGGACAGGGGGTAGGGATAGGGGTAGGGGGCAGGGCAGGGACAAGGATGCGGTGCCCTCACCTTTCTGGCTGGAGGAGGGCCCCTGGAGGTGCAGGGCCACCAGCTGTGTGGGCGACTCCAGCACGAAGCACTTCTGGTTGATGTCGAAGATGTCAAAGGACTGCGAGCGGGTGTAGCGGAAGGCGGGCGCCCCGGCGTAGCTGCTCTGCAGCTGCTGGAAGGTGACGGGCTCTGCGGGGGACAGGAGGTCAGCAGGTGGCAACAACACCCCAGCAACCATCCCTCCTCCTCCAGCGCCGCGCTCTTACCAAAAACCTCCTCCAGGAGCATGCTCAAGTCGCTGTCAGCAAAGTCCCTGCACTTCGGCCTCCGCAGCAGTTTGGTCATGGCCACCACCAGCACGGCAGCCTGCCGGAAGCTCCGGCGTCCCTTCCTCACTGACACCTGCACACCCACAGCCGTGTGCTCAGAATCCAGGCGAGGCTTCTGCAGGCAGAGGGCTGCGGCTGAGCACCCTGTGCTGCGAGGGCACCGTGCCACAGTGCCACTGCACTCTGCCATCCGTACCTTCTGAAGGCAGAGGCAGGAGGGGCTGTAGAAAGTCTCCTCGCTGAGGCTGGAAGGCAAAGTGAATGGTGAGCTTTGGGCCACGTGAAGCTCAGACCCGCAGTGAGCCCCCAGCCCCTCTCAGTGCTCACCTGCTGCTCTCCAGCACGTCCAGGTCCGGAACAAACGCCATCTCTGTGCCCAATGTGAAACCTGAGGGTGAAGGCAGGCTGCAGTGCTGCACTTCTGCTCCTCCCGCTGCCTTCGGGGTGCTCTGAGCTCAGCTGCTGAGCGACGCGTTTTCAAGGAGCGCTGGAAGGAAGCGGCTGCCGTGCGGGATTTCCACGTTTCGCAACACGCCGGGAGGTTGCTGAGTTTCGTATCTGCAGCACGCAGCGCCGCGGGCATCGGCACCACCTCTGCTGTGTTGTGCAGGGCACTGCGGGGCTCAGCGGGGCCGTGCTTTGCCAGCAGATCTCAGAGCGAGCTTTGTGCCCGTGCTTTGGGGCTTAGTGGGGCCAAGTTTTGGGGTTAGTATGAGACCCAGTGGTGCCATGATTTGGGGTCAGTATGGGCTGCAGTGGGGCCATGATTTGGGGTTGATATGGAATGCAATGGAGCCATGCTTATTGTAGAGATCAGAGCATGCTTTTCACCCATACTTTGGGGTCAGCATGGTGTCTGCAGGATGATGCTTTGGGGTCAACATGGGTCTCAGTTGGGCCACACTTCAGAGTCAGTGTGGACCACACAGCAGGGCTGTGCTTTGCGTTCGGTGTGGGGCCCCAGTGGGGTGATGCTTTGGGATGAATGTGGGGCCCAGCAGGGCGGTGCTTTGGGATCAGCATGGGGCCCAGCAGAGCAGTGCTTTGGGGCCATTGTGGTGCACAGAGTGGGGCAATGTTTGGGGTCTGGCTCTCGTGTGCTGGCTGGGCTGACACACTGGGGCTGCCCCATGGCCACCAATGCCCCGGATGACGGCAGCTCTCGTCACGGCTGCAGCAAGGCCGGATTCCCCAGAAGGGGCCAGTGATGCAAGTGCTACCACTGTCCCATTTCCCCACCCAGCTCTTCCGCTTCCTGCCAGCAGCCACAGGGACCCCACACATCCCACTCTCTGATTGCTGTCTTTGGGATGCTGTCCTCTTGGTCTTTCTGCCGCCCAGGCCCCACATCCCCATTGCTGTCCTACAGGACGCCCATGGCCGCCCTGCCGGCTCCCACGCGGTTGCGCCACGTTGGCCAGGGATGTGCGTGTGTGGGGTGGCTGTGTTTTCCCGCGGCTGTCTCACTTCCCAAGTGGTGTCACTGACCCCACAGGACGTGACTCAGGCCTGGACCCGTCTCTGTGCCGCCGTGTCACACGCGGATGTCTATGCACCCCATGAGCACATGTCCCCTCCCACCAGGACGTCTCTGTTCCCAGGATGTCCCCATGCTGGATTTCCTCACTGTGGGTGTCCCTGTGGGCAATGATCCCATAACAGACGTGCCCCACTGTCCTGGAGATCCCTGTGGCTGCGTGGCAGCAGATGTCCCCACACCACAGCAGGTGTTTCCACTGTGGATATCCCCGCAGCTGCCCCTCGAGGTGGGTGACCCCATGCCAGATGTCCCCACGGCGGATGTCCCCACACCGCAGTGAAGGTCTCTATGGATGGATGTCCCTATGGACGGATGTCCCCAGTTTAGACATCCTCACGACGTGGCGCTGTCCCGCCGCACAGCACGCCCCGAAGGCGGAAGCCCCGCACTCCCGGATGCCCCAACCCGGGGAAACCCGGGGAAACCCGGGGAAGGGGCTGGAAGTGCCGCGGATCCCCGCGCCCCGCTCTGCCTCCGCTTTGCCCCCCCCCCCCTCCGCGGCTGCGGAAGCTCCGAGCAGCACGCATGCGCGGCGGGGCACTGCTCAACCAGGAGCCTGGCTTACAATGGGCGTGGCTTATTTGTAGAGGCGTGGTTTGGTGTTGGGGGCGTGGCTTGGTGTGGGGCGGGGCGACGCGGTGACGTAAGAGCGGGGCGGGGCGACGCTGGGCGGCAGCCGGCGGTTGGGGGCCGCTGTCAGAGTCGGGGCCGTGAGCGGGGAGCACGGGCGGGCCGGCAGGTACCGGACCGGAGATGGTGGGGCGGGGTCGGGCCGGACCGGGCCGAGGCGGGTGGGGGGCGACGGGGCCGGGTGGGCCTGGTCCGGCGGGGCGGGGGGCGGTGGCCGCTCGCCGTGTCCTTGGCGCCGCCGCCCGGGCGCCTCAGGGCGGGGGAGGGGGCGTGGCCGCCTCGGGGACGGGCAGCGCCATTCGGCCAATGGGGAGGTGGCGGCGCGCCTAGTGCCGCTCCGATTGGTGGTTAAGGGCGCGAAGCCCGCGCGGCGGAGGCGGGCGCCGATTGGCGGGCGGGGCGCGGGGGCGGGGCCGGGTCCGCCAACCTGCCGCACGTGGGGGCGCGGGGCCGCGAGGTTTGCGGGTCGGGATTTGCGAGAGGCCCTGATGCGGGAGCGGTGCCGCTCCCTTACTTGGTGAAGGGACCTCGGTTCGGTTCCCCGCGCTCCGCTTTGCCGCGGGTGCTGCCGGGATCCCGCGCCCGTGGCGCAGCGTCGCCGTCCCGGCCCGTTGTGCTGGCTGAGGGACGGGCGGGCGCCGTGCTGTGCCGTGACCCGGCCCGGACAGGGCCTGCGCCGCTCCGCCGGCCCCGTTCACACCCCGCAGGTGGTGGAAACAGAGCTGGCCGGTGCGGCAGCCGGCAGCCTGGCTTTCCCTCTGATCCAGCTAAGTTTAATTCTTATCCTTTCCGTGGCCGTTTGATTTTAAGGATTAAAACCCCAAAGCGTTTCCCAGTTAACCTTCTCTTGCAGCAGGTCACGGTGGCTCTGGCTCCAGAGGTGACATTTAGGCCCTTAATCTGCTTTGCGCCCTCACCCGTAGCAGCCCTTGGTCTGCGGGAGCATTCCTGGCGTTTGACCTTTGCAGGAGCTGGCAGTGCAGCCGTGGATCCGCTGCTGTCCCACAGCAGCCCATGTCTGTGTGCTGTGTTTATGCCCCGCTGCCCTCAGCTCCCTGCAGTTCTCCCGTTTGGGGCTGACCCCCATCAGTAACACCTCTGTTTTGCAGTGCTGAGATGCTGCTGGCTGGCAGAGCTGAAATTGGACACTGCTGCTGATGCTTTTGTCCCAGTGCTTTTTTTCCCACGCGGTTCAGTCGGCTCAGAGCTCTCCCCACACGTTTTGCGGTTTAAACGTTGGGGTGGTGAATCTCTGCTTCTGCTCCCGGGCAACTCTGTGGAGCAAAGATCTCTGCCCTTAATACCTGCCATGAATCGAGGCCCAGGAATGCTGTGCTGCCATCCCCTGCTTGCAGCTGCAGCTCTCAGGAGGTCTGGAAGCATCGACCCAAACACTCTGCACCAAAATCCTGAGCTTAGAGGGGGGAGTTGGAGCTGCTGCAGTGCTGGGGGACGAAAACTAAAACAGCAAAGCAAATAGGGAAGCCCAGCAGGTGACACAGCAGTAAGGGGACCACATTCCCCTCCCATTGTAGAATCACTGAACTGCTCAGGTTGAAAAGGACCTTAAAGATCATCAAGTCCAACCCCAGAGTGCTGGGAAGCTTGGTTTGCTGCTGTGGGGTCACCTCCAGCCCCGTGACGGCCCTGGGCAGGCACAGGGCCAGATGGCACCGTCCTACACGTCAGTGCAGCCCAAGGAGATCTTATCGCAGCTCGTTCCCCAGGGCTGTGTTGTTGGCCTTCGTCGGCAGCGTTAGTGGGGAAGAGATGAAGGGGCCTGCCTGGGAACCCATGTCTGAGTGGGCCGTGGGAGAGAGGAGGTGGTTCTGGCGTCAGGAGAGCTCTTCCTGCAGTCAGTTCGTCCCAGTGCCCCGTGACTGAAGGTGGGCTGCGGTCACCTCTGATCTCTCGCTGCATTCACAGCCCCAAATACCGTGCAGGTGCCACACCTGTAGGGGTCAGCCCCGTCCCCCACTGCTGCCCTGAGACCCACTGCGGGCTGCCCCAGCCCGGCCCTTGTCAGATGGATGGAGGCCAGAGGCAGGGTGAGTAATGCAGCAAGAATGGGTCGAGGAAGAGCCGCTTTGCTCTGCTCACGGCCATGGTCCTCGTAGTAGGAAGGGGAGCAAAGAAGAAAGCTCTTATTATGCAAACCCCACAGAGGCTGTTTTCCTGTGTCCCGACAGGACAGGGTCAGCTGAGCACAGGGAGTGCAGCATTCAGCAGTAAAACCCAGCTGGTAAGAAATAAATCAAGTTGCTAGCACCACTCCGGGCTGGTTTGGCACCCGTTTGGGTGGCATTCTGGAGCTCCCAGCACCGGCTGTGCTCCTGCAGCCGGCGTTTCTGTGCTGGGCTCTCATTCCATGCGACGGTGTCTCAGTGTGCGCCGTGGGCACGGGGCTCTGCTGCCTGTGGCTCGGTGTGAGCAGGGCACCGGCAGCTCCTCGCAGGGGTTCCTCTCTGTTCCTCTTTTGCATCGCATCAGCTGGGTGCGTCGGGAATGGGAAACGAAGCGGTGTGAAGCTGCGGGCTGCTGTGCGGGGTGGGCGCCGCCCGGACAAAGGTTGTTGCTCGCTCCTGAGCCTCGTGCTGGGGTGAGGGAGCTCCGCTGCCTTGCCCCGTTCCTAAAGCTCCTCTCGTTTCTATTCCAACAGGAACTCGTGTGAGGCTGTCGGACAAACATGTTTAACTTAAGGACTTGTGCAGCAAAGCTGAGGCCGCTGACGGCCTCTCAGACTGTTAAGACAATTTCCCAACAGAGGCCGGCAGCGCCCAGGACGTTTCACCCCATCCGGTGCTACAGCGCGCCGGTGGCTGCCGAGCCCTTTCTGAGCGGGACTAGTTCAAACTATGTGGAGGAAATGTACTATGCGTGGCTGGAAAATCCCAAAAGTGTACATAAGGTAAGGAGCAAGCTCTCCGGGATACGGCCTCCGCTTCTGTGTGTGCGTGGCCTCCGCTTCTGTGTGGGCGCAGGTAAGTGCAGGCATCCCAGGAGGATTCAGCTGGCTGTGGACGTCCGTCCCACTGCGCTTCTCCTGAAAGCAGCAGCTGCACCAGAAGCTTCTCCTCTCGAGAGCAACCACCCTGCGCTTTGCATGCGGCCAGCACGGAGTTCTCCGCATCCTGGATCACACGTGGATACAAGGAATGGCCTCAGAGGGAATCCGCCCTGCTGAGCTCCAGATGGTGTCTGCTTTCCGGCCCTTACTGCTCCTCAGGAGGGTTCATTCTGGGGGTGAGGAGGGAGAGGGTGCTCCTCACACCTCGCCTCCTGTTTGCTGTGCCCTGCAGAGTGCTGCTGAGCGGGGCTGGCAGTTGGGCACAGCGGTGTGTTGGTGCATCACTGCAGCACGAGGCAGGGCTGCGGGGTTTGCTCCTGGGTGGCCGGGGGATTTCTGAGAACCCCACGGTGTTTTTCCCCCAGCGTTTCACAAAGGAAGTGTGACTGCAGGGAACGAGTTTCAGCGTTACCCACATCATTTGTAGGAGGGTTTCATGCATATTCTGGCGGTGCTCCCAGGGCAGTTCTCATTCAGCAGCTGTGGAGCAGCGTGCAGCTATCGCACAGGGCTCAGGGAATGTGGAAGGAATCTCGTGCTCTTGTGTCAGCAGTGAGCTGTTTTCAGAGGCGTTGACCCCACGTGTCCAAACCACAGCCTGTAGGCTGCTTGCTGCTACAGAAGCCCTAAGGCAGGGTCAAAGCCAAGTTCTCATCACCCAATTCACTGTGTTCCCTTCTCCTGCAGCCAGCGGTGCGCCCAGGGCCCTGTGCCAGTGTGCAGGCTGAGTGTCGCTTAGAGCATTTCTGAGCACCTCGGGAGCCCTGGGGCTGCAGCTCAGTCCCACTGACCGAGGTTTGCAGTGCGCTTTGCCATCACTTGTGTACAAACGTGGCTCTGTGGCTTTGCTCCGTGGCTTTGCCCTGTCTCTGCCCTGGGTGAATCCCATTGTTGTTTTGGTGCTGCCGTTGGCATCCCTTGCAGCAGCCACAGGGCCCGTGCTGCTGGTTTGGGTCAGCCCTGCATGCTGTGTGGATGCTGAGGGACCCGTGGCTGCAGGACATCTCCAAACCAGCTCTGGGTGCCAGCTGGGATCCCAGTGGGACCTGAGGGGCCTGGAGATGCTTCCAGCTGCAGCCGTGCCAGGCTGCTGTGCTGCCGATCCCTGCGTAAATCCCCTGGCACGAGGTCGTCGGATCCCCTTGGGGACTTCATACCTTGCCCCAGGACCTCAGAGGGAAACTGTGCTGCCAGGGAGGCACCGGCGTGTCCCGAGCTGATAGCGGGGAGGGTGCGGCGTCCGAACCCAGCAGCCCCAGCTTATCTCTGCAGATAGCAGAAACCCCACGCCCGTCCCGGGGAGGAGCTGGGATTTTTGAGCTTGGCTCACCAGAAACCTCCCTGCCGTCCCATCCCTGCGTGCCTCCGGGCGCCGCGCAGGGCAAGCTCACTTCCTCCATCCGGGACTGATTGCTGAGAGTGCAGAACGCGTTCATGCGCTCGTCTCATTTGAGGAAGGAGGGTTTTTTTTGTTTTGTTTGTTTAATTATTTTAAGCTTTTTTCCTCTTTCTGGCCTTCATCTGAATTCCAGTTTCCCATTAGAGAGCTTTGCTGCAGTAAGATGAGCAAACAGGAGCTCAGCTGGGGAGGGAGGAAGTGAGGGTGGGGGGGAATTGTTCCCAATGCTGGTGGCTGATGGGAGCCTTCCTGCTGCCGGCCCCTTCCCATTGCTGCTCCCGGAAGGAATGGTGGCATACTGCTTGCTGTAGGGCTGCAGTATGGAAGGGCCGTCCAGCAGCCCCTGAACACATCCACGCTGATGTGGGTCCAGCTTTGCCCCTGCCCACCAGGCAGTGCTCGGTGTGCTCTGCTCCTTCTGCCGGTGCCGGATCGCTGTGTTCAGGAAAGGCTTTGGGAACAGCATCACATGCTGTGCACAAGTGCAGGCAGGGAGCACCCAGGGCTCTCCCCCTGTGGAGGGACACCGTTATCTTGTTGGAGAAGGGCTGGTCTGGCACGACTTGCCTTTGGTAAACTGGCACCGGCTTTTCCCGTCGCCTGTGATGTTTGGTCTGTCAGAGTTTCTGGGAGGACCCGTCCCGTTCCTTCCCCGGGAATTGCAGTCCTGTAGTTTCCTGGCTCCTCTTTTGGGCCCAGAGAACCCTTTCTTTGTGGCTCTTGCTGATATCAGTGCTACTTCAGCCTTCCCAAGCGCGTGCCCCGATGAGGTCCTGGCTGTCCCTGGTGGTTGTGTGGCTGCTGCAGAGCTTATGTCTGCTTCAGAGCACGCCCCAGAGCAGTCTGTTGAGCAGGGTGGTCCATGGTTCCCCCTGCCTTTAGCAGGGCTTGGCCTGCCCTCGTTCTTCCTGCGTTTTGCTTTCACTGGGGGCCTGGCCTGCAGCCCTGCCATGACGTTGGGCAATGAGGCGTTCAGTGAAAGTCTGATTGCGCTGCACCGCGCCCTGCTTGGAGAGCTCACAGCTGAGCTTTTCCTTTCAGACCTGAAGCAAAGTGCGAGAGGCAAAGGTTTGCAGTGTCAGAACGGAGGTCACGAAGGCAGCAGCTCCCTGGGTGCAGAGGTTTGGGTGTGATTCCAGGTGAAAAGTGACTGCGGGGAAGGAAAAGATGCGTGGTTTTGGGGTGCTGCTGCTCAATCCCATTCCTCCTGCAGTGCCCCACTTGGTCCTGCTGTGCCCCATCTTCCGCTGACCCTCAGCAGTGGGGAAGCAGTAGGGCTGTGCTGCTCCGCACCCCTGTGCTCATCACCGTAATTCCTTTCTCGTGCTGCATTTGGTGCTGGGGTGCAAAGTATGCCCTGCAGGAGCTATCCCAGGCTGCTTCAACCCAGGAATCCTTGCACCATCCTCAAAAGCCTCGAGGGTGGATGGAAGATCAGCCTGGTTCAGTGTGTGAGCTCTGAAGTCTTCTTGCATCAAGGCTTGGCCGTGGGGTGACGCAGCGGCGTTCGCAGGGCAATGCAGGATGCTGGGAGCCATGTGGGGGCCAGCCCTGCTGGCAGCAGAGAGCAAACCTCCGTCTCTCTCCCCCTCGTTGGGAGCAGCTGCTGCATTCCCTTGCACGTCTGTGGACGGTGAAGGCTGGGTAATGGACTGGAAAAACAGAGCGGTGAGTCTCAGTCCTGCTCTGCAGCAGCCAGAATTGGAGGCAGCAGCTTAGGGCAGGAGGGGACAGGATGGTGGCATCGCTTTGGGAGCTGCAGAAAGCCCTCCCCCCTCAGCAGGAAACAATGGCAGCACGGTCAGGTGCTGGGTTTAGTTTGTTTAGTTTGTTTCTTTATTATTCTTGCCGTCGAGGGAAATCAGCTGCATGGATATCAGTTACAGCTCCAGGTTTTTCCAGATTTTATTTATGTTCCTCCAGCGTGACCTGCTTCTAAATCTGTTCGCTCTGTGCAACCACGTGCTGGGCGTCCGTGTGAGTTGGGGAGGCTGGAAATAGCTGGGGCATGCAGGCTGGGTCACTGCTGTGTGCCCAGAGCTGCCTGCAAAGGTTAGGCTGCAGCTCCTGGTCCCAGGTACCAGGGGGGAACCCCACCTTCTGCCCCAGCCCCACACTGAAGTCTCTGTTAGCTGTGATTTGGCCACCCTCACCTGTATTCTGTCGCAAGCAGAAGAGCTGGTGTCTGCGCTCGTCTCTGTGGTTGTGGGTGTCTGGGTGGCTGTGGGATGTGTTGGCTGGGCCTGGGGGAGAACAGAATGGGGTAGGAGGGGAATGGGAATGGGAAAGGAAGAGGAATAGGAGGGGGAAAGGAAGTGGGAAAGAACAGTAAAGGGAAAAGAATACAAAGGGTAAAGAAAGGGAATGGGAAGGGGGTGGAAAAAGAAGGGGGATGGAAGGGGAAAGGGAAAGGAAGAGAATAAGAAAGGGAGAGGAAGGGAATAGGAAGGGGAAAGGGAAAGGAAGGGGGTGGGAAAGGGAAAGGAATGAGAAATGAATGGGAAAGGGATTGGAAAGGAAAAGAACAGTAAAGAAAACCCACGAGTGCAGGGTGCCCTGCGCTGGGAGTTGGGCCCTCCAAGCCCTGTTGAGGGGCTGAGAGCAGCGGTGCTGCTGCCGCCGTGGGGCAGCGTGGTGGGGCTGGGTGGGACGTGGGGCTGAGCATCAGCAGTGCTGGGAGGTGGGGGAAAGTGAGGGGGAGACCTGGGTGGGAAGCAGAGGGCTGCATAACCTGAAAGAGCTTGAATCCTTCATCTGCGTGCAGCTTCACCTTTTTGTCAGCGGTCTCTAAAAATCCAAATCAAAGCGCTTGGGGCAGAGTCACCCCCGTGGCTTTGGTGCACGCTGCAAAAAGGACTTTTCCTTCCGCTCCTGCACCTGGTTGTGTTTTCCCTAGGCAGGCAGCAGGGTACCTGTGGGCTCCCGTCTCCGTCCTGGCTGCTCCACGCAAGGAGCTTTGCACTGGGGACGTTTGGTTGCACCTGCTGATCTGTGCCTTTTTTTCCCTCCAGTCGTGGGACATCTTCTTTCGCAACGCCAACGCCGGAGCAGCTCCAGGCACTGCTTACCAAAGCCCCCCTCCGCTGAGCTCCAGCCTTTCCACGCTGTCCCAAGCACAGTTCCTGGTTCAAGCACAGCCCAACGTAGACAAGCTGGTGGAAGACCATCTGGCAGTGCAATCTCTTATCAGGGCATATCAGGTAAGAACACAGCATTGCGCCGGCGACCACGTTGTCCCAGCAGCTCCACTGCCGTGTAACACTGCCGGACAGTAGGAAGCTTAAAGCCACTGCCACCCCACCAGGGCCATTGCTGCAGCATGGTTTGCTCTCAACCCAGGCCAGGAGCAGCAGGGATGGGGCCATTCCCAGCCGGGGGGGTTGGGATGGGAGCTCCGGGCTCTGCCTCCACCTCCTCTTGCTCAGGAGTAGCATAGGACAGCCGTGCTGCTTCCCGTGCTTTGAAGGAGAGGATTGACAGCACTTCAGGAAACATTGCTTTGCTCTTTGCAAATGGATGAGGGCCGCTCACCACTGAAGCTCGGAGCCATGCTGCCAAAATCAACCTCTGGGGAGAAATGAGTTCCTAGCAGAATGGAAACCTCTGCAGCACGCACCCAGGGCTGGTGTTTCAGCTCAGGAGAACACTGAGATGCATTCCTGTGGCCATCATTCTTTCCATCGTTCTTTCCCTGTTGGTTTGCCCAGCCGTGCTCACCTCTGGGGCACTGCACTGCTCCTGCTGGGCTGTTTGTGAGCTCCCTGCACTGTGCTGATAGCACGGCAGCTATTGCTGGCTCCTTGTCCTGCTGGCTTCCGAATGCTGCGCTGTTGGAGGCAGGCACCTCCAAAGCAGCGATGTGCCCACGAAGCCCTCAGCCCTCTGCGCTCCCTCTGCTGTCTCAGCCTCCGCAGCGGCCGTGCTGGGAGGTGGTTGCTCTTGACCTGCTTTCTCCGATGTGGATTGAGAAAGCTGCAGCCGTAGTGGGGAGGTTCCAGGCGGGGAGGCGTGCAGGTGGGTGAGGGCCGGCAGCCCCACCTGTGGTATGTGACCTATTTAACCAGCAGGCAATTAATTTCCCAAACCAGATCGAGCTGGAGAGGCCCTGTAAGGAAAGGCGAGAGGTGTCCTGCCCTGTGCTGGCTCCTGGTGGCACCAGCACCGGTCTGTTCCTCCTCTGTGGCAGTGCTTGGGAGCCCAGCTCATTATTTCCTTTAAAATGACCACCGTGGTCTTGTTAGGACTGGGGAAAACAATCTGCCTCTGCATCCCTGCGGCGGAGGAGGCCGTGGCACCCCACGGGGACTGCTGCCACTGCTGCCTTGGGGTTCTGTGGGGGGGAGGGTGGAAGAAAGAGGAAGAAAAGCACGGGAGAAGACCCCCTCCTTGTTCCTGCTGTACCCGAGCTGAGCTCTGGATGGAGGAACCCAATGTGGGAGGGCACTGCGGCCGCTGAGCCCTGGAACTGCTGGCCCTGAGATTCGGGATAGCCTTTCATTCCCTTTTCATCCATTTTGGGGCAGCCCTTAACACAACTCGTGTGGGCATCATGGATCCGGAGGGCAGCCCTGAGTACTGGAAATCAAAGCCATGAGTGTTCAAAACAAGAGAAGTGTGGACTAAAAAGAAAAGCAGTAGTCACTGGACATCAGTAAAGTGTGGGAAGGAAAGTCTCAGCGGTGCCAGGGGCAGCAAGGAGGACTTTCAGGGCAGCTCTGGCTGCTGAGCGCTGCTGAGCTCTGTGTGGCGGCACAGGTAAGTGGGGGGCAGTGGCGCAGTGCTGCCCTTCCCAGTTCTGTGCTAGGAGCTGCTCCAGGCTTCAGAGCCACGGAGTGGGGCTGGGACCCTCCTGGCCGGCTCTGCGGGTGACGTGAGGAGGGAACCTGCATGAGGTTGTGTGGTTTCGGTTATTATTTTAAGGAACATCTCTTCAATGAGTTCGTCTTAATGACTAATCTGTATTGTTGCTTCCAGGTCAGGGGCCATCACATTGCAAAGCTCGATCCTCTCGGCATTAGTTGTGTAAATTTTGATGATGCGCCTGTAACTGTTTCTCCAAACGTCGGTGAGAATTACTCTGCAAATTAATTCGAATGTAATTTAACTTTTTTACCCCTCCCCTCTTTTGTTTTTCTCCCTCTCCCCTCTCCCTCCTGGTACCTGTTCTCCCCTCCGTTCCCGGCCCATTTCATAGATTCGAGGGCACCATGTAGCACAACTCGACCCCCTGGGCATCCTGGATGCGGATCTGGACTCATCCGTTCCAGCCGATATTATCACATCCACAGACAAACTGGGTGAGGGCTTTGAGAGCAGTCAGTGCTGCATTGCTTGAGCTCCTCTCTCTCTCACAGCTTTGTAGGTAGAGCGCTTCACCAGTGCAGGGGAAAGGTCTGGAGTTTCCTCCCTAACGATGGCTGCAGATCAGTTTGGGGAGCGCAGCGGCGGCGGAGCAGCTCTGCCCCCCCCTGGCGGTCACCGCTCCCCACGCTGAGCCCTGAGCTCTGCCCTTGTGCCAAGGAAGCCCTGGGATGCTCTCCCACCTGGGTAGGGGTGGAAGTTCCCCTGCTTTGGAGCGAGGGATGCATGCGTGAGTGGCACACAGGGGGGTGAAGCCCTAAGGCGCCGTGCTCCCAGCACAGCAGCAGCGAGCTCCTTCACCCCACCGCTGCCTCAGGGCCGGCCCTTTGCTGCAAGGCATGCTCCTAACCTAGAGTAGAGCGCAGCGATGATCACTAACCTCGCACAGCTGCTGATCTGAATTCTGTCTGTGTGTCTGTCTGTCTGATGGGTGGGCGACTGCACCGAGCGTCGTGCTGCAGGGCTGGGATGGAGGAGCAGTCCTCAGGATGCTCCCTGCGTGGCTGGGCGCTGCATTGCCTGGGTCAGCCCTGACCCCTGGGCTGCAGCCGGGCGGTTGCCGTCAGGGCTTTGCAGTGTTCTCACTGAGACTTGGCACCGTGGCTCCCGGTGTCGATTTAATTAGCAGGAGTGCATAATGAGAGCAGGGAGCGAGCCGAGCTGCTGCTACCAGCTGATGGTTTGCACCAGGGCTGGGTTGCATCGGCTGCCGCAGCCGTGTGTGAGCGCAGGAGGCCGCGTGTCCCTTCAGGAGCACCAGCTGCAAAACCTCATCCCGTGGATCCTGAAATAAAACTGCTCGTGCTGAGCAGGGCAGCGCGGAGACGCGGCGGCTGGGAGGAGAGCTGCCATCTCCTGCTTGCAGTGTGCAGCCAAGCCCAGCCCAGCAGCAATCCCACACGGCTCCATGCAGCACTTCTTCCTTAATTGGCAACGGCCTCATCGCTGCCGAGCCAGCAGAGCTGCCTTCCCACGTGGGAGCTTCCCCACGCCGCGCTGTCCTCACAGAGGGGGCAGTGGATGAGCTGCACGGGGCAGGATGCACACCGTGTCGCATCCCAGGTCCCCGTGGCACTGAGGGGTGATGTTTCCCACTGGCAGCCCAAGAGGGGCTGCGGGAGGTGGTTGGAGAGGCGGTGCTGTGAGGGGCTGCAGCACATCTCTGGCATGGAGAGAGATGGGTTTGAAGGGGGATGGTGGGGGGCTGCAGCCGGTGTGCTGCAGGTGTAGGTCAGGGTGAGGGGGAAATCCTTCCACCAGAGGCTGTCGCTGCTGCCCAGAGCCGTGGGTGCCCCAGCCCTGGAGGTGCTCGAGGCTGTGGATGCAGCCCTGGCAGCCTGAGGTCCCTTCCAGTCCAACCGCGCTGGGTTCCCATGGCTCAGTGCTCCAGGATGCTGCCTGCCTGCAGCCCGGCCTCATGGCTGGGGGCTGTCAGGAGGACAAGGGCAGATTTTCTGGCCAGTGCCAAAGATCCACTGTAGCCTGTTGTTTGTAGAGAAAGCCAATTTCTAAGCAAATCCTGCTGGCTTTTAGCTTGGAAAGAGTCTTTCCTAACACTTGGGCTGCAGTTAATTTGCAGAGCAGTTAATAAGAGGAGTGTTTGTTAGACTTGCCCTGGAAACAATCTTTTGTTTCCTATTTCTGCGCATTGAAATCCTTAAAGGTCAGCTGTCGTGCCGTGAGCTGCGCTGCGAGCAGCTTCTGCTCTGAGCGGGCGCATCTGAGGAGCTGCGTGCCTCGTCTCTGAAGCTGAGCTTTTGTCTCAGCTGCCTTTTGTCCAGCAGCTCCCCGCTGCTGGGTTTGGAAGCTGTCTGTGGGTACGGCGGGGCGACCTCTGGCTTAGTGCAGGAGTGCAGCATCCCATGCAGGGAACCCCTCACTGTGCCCAGCCCGGTTCCTGCCTGGGCGATGGAGCGCTCCCGCTGTCGGTCTGTCACGGAAGGAGCCTTTGGCAGGCGCCAGCTGTGCCCACAAAGCCTCTGCTGCCCTTGGGGCCGTTCTGCAGCCTGCAGTTGAGGCGCTGCGCACCAGAGGAGACCTCAACCCATGCAGCCCAACTGCTGCCCAGTGTCTGATGCCCCCTCCCTCCCTCCCCAGCACATTTGCCACCAGGACCCCTTTGCCACGTAGCGCAGCCATCCTCCCCCCACCCCACCCCTCCTTGCCTCCAGCGCTTCCCACTCTGAATTGTTTTGTGTCATTTTTTTAGACTCGTGTTTTTCCATGGCTGTTCTCCTCGCGGTTTTTTTCCTTTACTAACTCTGACTGCGTCTCTCTATCTTCTCCCTCTGCACCCCCCGCCCACCCCAGACCTCGCAGTGTTCAAGGAGCGACTGAGAGTGCTAACAGTGGGAGGTACGCACCCCGCAGCCCCAACCCCATGCAGCACAGGACTCTCCATAGGTTATTCTGGGCCCTTTGGCGCGCGGTCGGCGATGCTTCACCCCGAGTTGGAGCGCGATGCTTCACCCTGAGTTGGAGAGCTCCCTGTAGCAGCACTGGGGCCCTCTGATCTGCACACACCTATCGCTCCGTTGCCTTTCGTTGTAACCTCTTTGTCGCGCGCTCGGTGTTAATTGCTGCTTGGTTCTTGCGCTCAAACCTCCTCCGTGCTCATTTTGGGTTTTGTGCTGCTTTTGTCCCCCTCCCCTCCTCTCTTCTCTCCTCCCTCCCCCACCTGCGGCCGACCCCCCCCCTCCCCCGGCCCCATCCCTTCCTTCTCTCTGCTTCCGCTCGTCCCACCACCACAACCCTGCAGGATTTTACGGGCTGGATGAGTCCGACCTCGACAAGGTCTTCCATTTGCCCACAACCACCTTCATCGGAGGAAATGAGTCGGCTCTTCCGCTGCGGGAGATCATCCGCCGCCTGGAGGTGAGGGCTGTGGGTCTGCAGGCAGAGCGGCGCGCAGCACAGAGCTGTTGGCAGCAGCGCCGTGGCTTTGCTGCAGGTTGTTGCCTCTCTGCCTCGCTCCCCGTTCCTGGCTGACCTCAGGACGGAGATGAGCAGGGCAGGCCCTGATTCTGGGGGGTTTTCCTCATTCCCTCCTGCCTTGACAAATGGGGTCTGAAAGCAGCCTGAGGTGCGGTGCAGCCCTCGGAGGCTGTGAGTTCTGCACAGGCAGGCAGAGAGGGAGCCGTGCTGAGCGCTGGGGTGAGGCAGCGTGCTGGGTGACTCCTGGGAGGTGCAGCTCACTGCTCACCTTGCCGGGTGCTGAAAGAGGAGACCGAGGGAACCCTGGCACCGCACGGAGCTGCCTTGGAGCTGGGGACGCGTGCGGCTCCTGCCGGTGCCTGATGGGCTGTGCGATGCTCCGGGGCAGATGGCCTACTGCCAGCACATCGGCGTGGAGTTCATGTTCATCAACGACCTGGAGCAGTGCCAGTGGATCCGGCAGAAGTTCGAGACCCCGGGGATCATGCAGTTCAGCAACGAGGAGAAGCGAACGCTGCTGGCACGCCTGGTCCGCTCCACCAGGTACCCTGCCAGGGCCTCCATTTTCCCCCATCTATTTCCTGCCGTATGGCTGCCCTTGCTGGACGGTCACCACCTGCATCACCTCTCCTTGGTGTCATCCGTGCGGTCCCTCCAGTCCGGGCTGAGCACAGATCTGTGACGTAGGGCTCACTCAGGTGCTGCCAGAGCGCTGGCACAGAGCCTGCAGACAGATGATGCTGGCAGAAAACAGCTAAAAATAAGGCGTTGTTCAGCAGCACAGCATGGAGTCGTGTGCATGCAGGGTGGGAGCAGGGAGCTGGGCAGCAGGAGAGGGCGTGGGGGGAGCAGGGGCTGTGCGCCCCAGTAAGGTCCTCTCTCTGCCCCCCCTTCCAGGTTTGAGGAGTTCCTCCATCGGAAATGGTCTTCGGAGAAGCGTTTCGGTCTGGAGGGCTGCGAAGTGCTGATCCCAGCCTTAAAGACCATCATTGATAAGTCGAGTGAGAAGGGAGTGGACTATGTGATCATGGGGATGCCCCACAGGTAGGTGCTGCCGCGCTCGGTACCCTGGGGTTCGGTTCTGCAGGGTGAGCAGCCGAGCTCGGACCTCAGCAGCTCCCTCTGTACAGAAGGGCTCTGGGGGGGAAGAGATGGGAATGGCGCTGCAGAGCCCGCTGTGTGCCTGTGGCCGAAGGAGCTGCGTTTGAGCAGGGCTGCAGCTTGAGGGTGGGATTTGGCCGTGCTGCAGCAGGGAGGGCACCGAGGGCGTCCCCATCCCTGCAGCACAAAGGATGTGCTATATACACAAAGGACGTGTTACAGCTCGGGACCCCGTCCCCTCCCCTTGTTCCCCGCGGCTCAGGGGCTGTAGGGCTGCCCCCGGCCGTCTGGTTGGGAGGCAGGGGGCTGTGCTGCCTGCTGCTCACCGACGGCGGCGTTGCTTTCACAGAGGGCGCCTGAACGTCCTTGCCAACGTGATCAGGAAGGAGCTGGAGCAGATCTTCTGCCAGTTCGACTCCAAACTGGAGGCTGCCGACGAGGTGAGTCCTCCTCCACTCCATCCCCCAGCAGCCTGCGGGCCGTGGCGCTGCATTGCACCGCCGTGACCCCGTCCCTCCGGCAGGGCTCCGGTGACGTCAAATACCACCTGGGGATGTACCACCGCAGGATCAACCGCGTCACCGACAGGAACATCACCCTGTCCCTGGTGGCCAACCCCTCCCACCTGGAGGCGGCTGACCCCGTGGTCCAAGGCAAGACCAAAGCGGAGCAGTTCTACTGCGGGGACACGGAGGGGAAGAAGGTGAGCAGGGTGGCGGCACTGAGGGTCTGGCACACAAACTGCCGTCACCACGGCTGCTCCCACATCTCCCCCTGGTCTGTGCTGGTAGCTCCTGTGGGGGCTTGGCCCCGTGCAGAGCTCCCATCCCCAAAGGCTCGGCAGCAGGGCTGCGAGGGCTCAGCTCCACGCTGCAGGGTCTCGTTGTGTGCGGGGTGGGAGTGCTGGGGGCACCGCGCCGGGGGGGTTTGTGCCCAAATGGCTGCCTCATTCATCGCCTGTGGCACTCCAGGAGAAGTGGAATGGTGAGATCAAAAGTACTTCCCTTCCTCCCACACTGCGAGGGCTGGGAATAAATAGAGCAGCTCTGTCCTCGCCTGGCAGGCAGCGTCCTCAGGCAGCCCCCGGCTAAAGCAGCGGAGCAGCTGAAGGCACAGTGAGCTCTGCCACAACGCGCTCCTTCTTTTGGGGTGAAAGCATGCAGGAAAGGTGCATTTCTCCCAACTCAGTCCCTGGAGATGTGGAGCAGAGGGTTTTGGGGTGGGACGATGGCCCCGAGCATCCCACAGGGATCGCAGCAGCTGCCCCTCATGCACTGTGGGAAACCACTGGACTCTGCAGTGGGGCTGAGATGTGGCCGCAGTGCCGCTGAGTGCCTTTGCCCTGCAGGTGATGTCCATCCTCCTGCACGGCGACGCAGCATTTGCAGGGCAGGGGATCGTGTACGAGACGTTCCACCTGAGCGACCTGCCCTCCTACACCACGCATGGCACCGTGCACGTCGTGGTCAACAACCAGGTAAAGGGCACAGCTGCCCAAAGCCAGGGGAGATGCTGCGGCTCCAGTGCTGGGATGGGGCTGGGGAAGCCCGGCTCGCTGCAGCCCGAGGCCTGGAAGTCACCTGCATTCCCCAGGCGCCGTGCAAGCTGATGGAAAATGCCTGGCCTGGTGCCTGCCCGGCTTCAGTGCCAGCCAGGACCTGCAGGCAGCACGGTTCGTTCCAAATCCCGTCCTCCCCAACAGATTGGTTTCACCACTGACCCACGCATGGCCCGCTCCTCTCCTTACCCCACCGACGTCGCCCGCGTGGTCAACGCTCCCATCTTCCACGTCAACGCCGACGACCCCGAGGCGGTGGTTTATGTGTGCAATGTGGCAGCGGAGTGGCGAAGCACTTTCCATAAGGACGTGGTGGTGGATTTGGTAAGGAGGTGGCACCAGGCTTTGTCTGGAAGCTGAGGCTTCTCCAGCCTTTGGGGCACGGTTTCAGGGGAGGGAAAGAGAGGGTTTAGGTGAGGCTGTGCATTCTAACACCTGGGGAAGAAGTGCTGTCTCTGTCTCTGTGCCTGCCCTCGTGCCTTGCACTGAGCAGGGCAGAGCTGCTCCCTCCTGGGCTGCTTTGGACTTTGCATAGCACACAGATGCTGTGGCTCTGCAAGGCTCAGGCTGCAGGGCTGCTCTCAGAGGCCCCCTCCTTCCCCACAGGTGTGCTATAGGCGCAACGGGCACAACGAGATGGACGAGCCCATGTTCACGCAGCCCCTGATGTACAAACAGATCCGGAAGCAGAAGCCAGTGCTGCAGAAATACGCCGAGCTTCTGATTTCACAGGGGGTTGTAAATCAGCCAGAGTATGAGGTATGTCACTGGGGTCAGCGTGCAGCTGTGCAGCACTGTGGCATGGGGGGTAGAGGAGCTGGCACCCCCAGCACCCTCCAAGGGAACGGGGTGCACCCATCTTCACAATGGAAAGGTTTTGGGGCACAGCATGGTAGAGGGATGCAGGGCACCGGGCACACAGACCTGCCCTGGCTGCCTCAGAGCCTCGTGAAGCTGCTCGGTTGGTTCAGAGCTGTGTTGATGGCTGGTGGCCCATCGCCACGCACCTAAAGGTGGCAGAGCTGTGCTGCACTTGGGTGAGCTGTGGCTGGGCTGGGAGCTGCAGCTCTGCTGTGGGCTGTGCCAGCTGGGAACAGGAACATCTCGTTCCCATCTCGTTCCGGGCTGCCCCTTGATCTCTGCAGTGCTGAGCTGCTCCGCAGCCGTGCCCTGTGGCACTGGGAGGGCTGGGGCTGAGCTGCAGGGCCCCCAGGGGCTGCCTGGCACAGGGACCCGCTCTGAACCCAGGAGCCCGAGCTCACGCCAGCACTGTTGTTTGGAGCCTCCTCAGTAACGCAGCTCTGCCCGCTTCTGCCTCACAGGAGGAAATTGCCAAGTATGATAAGATCTGTGAGGAGGCCCATGCAAGATCCAAGGATGAAAAGATCTTGCACATCAAGCACTGGCTGGACTCCCCCTGGCCTGGTAAGTTGCTGACAGCGTCTCAGCTAGTGCACAGCCCCACTTCTTCAAAGCCTGCCGGGGTTCCGGTGCCCCGTCAGCTGGCTTTCAGCAAATGCATGCTCACGGGGTGAGGGCGCCCTGCTGGCACCCCTGCTTCTGTCCTCGGGGTGTCGGTGGGGCCGGGCATCGGCCCTGCAGCACCGTGGCTGCTCCTCCGGCCACAGGTTTCTTCACTCTGGACGGCCAACCCCGCAGCATGAGCTGCCCCTCCACCGGGCTGAACGAGGAGGACCTGACGCACATCGGCCAAGTGGCCAGCTCTGTGCCTGTGGAGGACTTCACCATCCACGGAGGTAGGAGCTCGCTGCAGCCACGTGCTCATTCCTGAGACGGTGTGGGAGAGGGACGGAGCGCTGAGGGGTTCAAAGGGAGCTGTGGTTAATTAGGGGGGGGAGCGCGACGAGCAGCTCGTCCTTGGAGCTGCCCGGAGGGAGCGTTCCCCTGCCCTGGGCCATGTGCACATCCCACGGGCAGCTTTGGGGACGGAGCTGTTCTCACCACCACGAACCATCGCCTGTCCCGGCAGGCCTGAGCCGAATCCTGAAGACCCGTGGGGAGATGGTGAAGAACAGGACTGTGGATTGGGCGCTGGCTGAGTACATGGCGTTCGGCTCCCTGCTGAAGGAGGGCATCCACATCCGCTTGAGCGGGCAGGACGTCGAGAGGGGCACCTTCAGGTGGGGCAGCGCTGCCGTGCTCGGCCCCACGGCCTCTGGAAGGGATCCCAGACCACACGGCCTTTGTCCTTTGGGCTGTTTATTTTGCCGCTCTGCGCCGCGATCCCCTGTTGGCAAAGCAGCCGGGAAGGGGAAATGGCCAAATGAGACACCCGTGAAGCAGCAGCTTGCGTTTGGGAGGGGGTAACGCTGCCCTTCCCCCTCTTCCAGCCATCGCCACCACGTGCTGCACGACCAGAACGTGGACAAGAGGACCTGCATCCCGATGAACCACCTGTGGCCCAACCAGGCTCCCTACACCGTCTGCAACAGCTCTCTGTCTGAGTACGGCGTCCTGGGTGAGTGTGACTCCGTGCCCAGAGGGCCGCAGCCCCAGCCCTCCCCCTAACGCTCCCCTCACCTCTCCTGCAGGCTTTGAGCTGGGCTTTGCCATGGCCAGCCCCAATGCCCTGGTGCTCTGGGAAGCCCAATTTGGAGACTTCCACAACACCGCCCAGTGCATCATTGACCAGTTCATCTGCCCCGGGCAAGCCAAGTGGGTCAGGCAGAACGGCATCGTCCTGCTGCTCCCCCACGGCATGGAGGGCATGGTGAGGACCCCCCCAGGCCCCGGCTGCCTCCCAGCTCGTGGCAGCCTGGCTGTTCCTTCACTGCCTGGCTCCGCCTGCAGGGCCCTGAGCACTCATCTGCCCGTCCAGAGCGGTTCCTGCAGATGTGCAACGACGACCCCGACGTCTTCCCTGTGAGTGGGGCTCAGCCCGACCCCCCACTCACCACCCCCCCCCGGGGCCTTGCCGGGCCCTGATCTCCCCCATAAAGCTTGAGGGTGGGGGGCGGCCCTGGGGTGGGCTCAGCACAACGTGGCGTGACGCCAAGCTGCCCTCAGCAGCATTGTGGTGCAGCGGGGAGGCTGTTGTCCCACGCTGGGAGCACAGAAGCGCGGCTGTCCCCAGTGCTGCGCTCTCTGTGTGTCCCCTTGTGCTTTGGGAGGGGGCAGCAGGGGGTTGGGGGGCAGCAGGGGGTTGGGGGGCAGCAGGGCTGCGGGGCCGCGGGGCGCTGCTGTTCCTCGACACCTGCTGACCCACGCTTGTTGAGGCAGAAGCTGGACGACTTCGACGTGCGCCAGCTGTACGACTGCAACTGGATCGTCGTCAACTGCTCCACTCCAGCCAACTTCTTCCACGTCCTGCGGCGTCAGATCCTCCTGCCCTTCCGCAAACCGGTCAGTGCCCGGCGCCGGGGCTGTGGGTGCAGCGGGAGCTGCCGGCTGCTCGCTGCGGGGCAAGGGGGGGAAGAAAGCTCAGGGGTTGGAAACCACCGTCATCCTTGGGCAAATGGAGCAGCCCGTGTGCCCTCCTGTTCGCTCCCAGCCGAGCAGAGGAAGGGCGCTGCCAGGCAGCCGTGCTCCCTGCTCGGGGCGAGGAGTTCTGGCACTGCTCACCGTTTGGCCTCTCCCTCCCCTGCAGCTGATCATCTTCACTCCAAAGTCGCTGCTGCGCCACCCCGAAGCGCGCTCCAGCTTCGATGACATGCTGCCAGGTACGGGCAGCGCAGGCCGCGTTTGCCTTCTGGGGGTGAAGGGCAGCAGCCGGGGTGGTGTAAAGTCCTGCTGGCAGCATCCCCACGCCGGCCACCCCTGTGCTGCAGTAGATTGAATCCCTAAAATCCCTTTGGTTGTGGTCACCTCGGGCTGCGGGTCCTTATGGCCGCACCACCTCCCCGTTCCACAGCCCTGCCGCGTTCTCCCCGCGCTGATGGTGGGCTTCCATCCTTCCACAGGCACCAATTTCCTCCGGGTCATCCCCGACAGCGGCCCCGCAGCGCAGAGCCCGCAGAGCGTCCGCCGGCTGCTGTTCTGCACCGGAAAGGTTTACTACGACCTGACACGGGAGCGCAAGGCCCGCAACATGGAGGCAGACGTGGCCATCACCAGGGTGGAGCAGGTGAGCCTGGCGCGTCCGGGTTGAGGCCGCAGCGCTGAGTGCCACGCCGGCCGCCACCAACCCCCGTCCTCCCGCAGCTGTCGCCGTTCCCCTTCGACCTCCTGCAGAAGGAAGCTCAGAAATACCCCAACGCCGAGCTGGTGTGGTGCCAGGAGGAGCACAAGAACCAGGGCTACTACGACTACGTCAAACCGCGCCTGCGCACCACCATCAACCGCGCCAAGCCCGTGTGGTAACAGCAGAGCCGGGGGTCCCCAGGGGCAGCACCGCAGTCAGGGCCGCCCCGGCGCCCCCCAACCTCCATCTCCCTGCAGGTACGCAGGCCGGGAGCCGGCAGCTGCCCCCGCCACCGGCAACAAGAAGACTCACCTGACGGAGCTGCAGCGGCTGCTCGACACCGCCTTCAACCTGGACGCCTTCAAGGACCTGGCCTGAGACCCCAACCCCCACAGCCCCCCCGCGGCCGCTGCAGCATGCGCGTGGCTCTGTCCGTCTTTCTGTGTGTCTGTTGCTCGCCTCCCGCCTCCGTCCTAAACTACACGCCTTGTCAACCCAATGCCTCGCCTCGTGTGTGCCGCCGCACCGGGACCCCCGCGCTGAGACCAAAGTCCCCCATCGGGGTTGTGATGCCTCCACTTGGGACTGATTTTCCCCCCCCCTCGGGGTCAGGATTCCCCACTGAGGCCAAGACCCCCCCGTTGGGGACGGGATCCCACCGAGGCCGGGATGCCCCCGAGCGGTGGGCTCTGCTCACGCGCAGACACGTTCGGCCCTTTGCTCCCAAAGCTCGGGGTCGCGGTGGAGTCGGGGACTCCCTGTTCTCCATCCCAGCCCCCTCGGCTCTCGGCTGCCTCACGCTGGGGACAGGACGGGGTGACGCGGGGCCGCGCTGCCCCACGGGGCTGCTGCCGGTGGGGCGGGGGGCGGCGGGACCCCAAATCACCGCTGCCCACGTGCGGAGCCGCCACTGCCGGCTGTGACACGTCGGTGCCGCTGTCGCCCCCCCCC